CAAAAACAGACCACACAAACTGGATTCCTGACGGCAGTTTTATTGTGATAATTATAGCTAATGATTGGGAAGCTAATTAAAGTATCTGGAATTCATTGAATTTACTATTAAATAAAAATCTGTCTAAGAGCTTTTTAACCTCACTTAATTTTTGTTGTCGAAATAGACTAAATACCTTTGCCTCTATGGGTTAGGCTTAGTTTTTCCTTTACCCAACTGGAATTTTCTTCATTATGGATTCTGACACAGAGCAAACTCCCACTTTTCAGCTGTAGTTTTTTAAGAAATCTTGAAAAAAAGTACGATTTTCCTTCTGTTTCATAAATATGCAAAAAATGTGTGTTCCTCGAATATAATGAAGGTTTTTATGATTACCTGGTGTCTCCCTGTCCCCCCCAGGGCATCATTGTTAACAAAATCCTGAACTATATTGAAAACCCTGGAAAGAGTACGGTGACCTATGGTGCCGGTTTGGCCGTGGCTCTGTTCTGCACCGAGTTCTTCAAAGCGTTCTTCATTTCCCTCATGTGGGCGCTAAACCTGCGCACAGCAGCCAGACTTAAAGGAGCCTTCTCATCCATGGCCTATCAGAAAGTCATCTCTCTCAGGGTCCACAGCGGGATTTCAATGGGAGAGGTAAAAAGGACATATTTGCAAAGTTTTCCAGTCCAATGCAGCATGTAAAAAGCAAAACTGCTTTCTCCTCTGCCTTCCATACATGCAGATGATAAATGTCTTGACCAATGACGGCCACAGGTTGTTTGAGGCGTCAGTTTTTGGAAGCTTTGCATTCAGCACCCCAGTGATCTTCATTGCCTGTATTGTATATGCCTGCTATGTTCTCGGTTACACCGCCCTGACAGGAGTCTTTTGCTACATCCTGTTTGTCCCCATACAGGTCAGCAGCTCTTATCATAACCTCAACATTTAGTTTGTTTTCTCAGATGCATTAAATCAACAATAAAAAGCTATAAACAGTAGTTCATTTAAGATTAAATATGATATTGGATATAAAGGAAATAAAGGATGACAATATTTGACCTGATTTTGCAGCTGGGCTTGGAAATGTTTGTTTTTATAGGAGCACCTTCTGAAATACTGAATTAGGTGTTTGTTTTTTTATGCTAATCAACTTTGAATGCAGCCTTGAACAAAACTCTTTCCCTGCAGTTTTCCTTGGCAAAATTAATCAATAAATTCAGATGGAAAGCCATGCAGATAACAGACAGCCGCGTTCGCACAATGAATGAGATTCTAAACAGCATAAAGCTCATCAAGATGTACGCCTGGGAGGAGTCCTTCGAGAACAAGATTGCAGGTACGTTTAGAAGCTGCATGTCAACCAATTAGTGCCTCTCAAAATATCACTGCACTGGAAAAAATCCAATTCTAGATAAGTCATTTTTTCTTAAAATAAGTGCATTTGTTCTTGAATTGAGGAGATAAAAGAGACATATTGCCAATGGAAGAAGACAATTTAGGTTTAAAATAAGAAAACACAACTGCATTGTCTTATTTCAAGCGCATATTATCTAATTATCTTATTCTAAGAGTAAAAATACTCATCCCATTGGCAAATTATCTCATTTACGTACTCAAATCAAGGGTAAATACACTTAATTTGAGAAAATTTTAGTTATTTCTGGAACATTTTTGCAGTGTGCAAACATTTAAATATAGATAAGTCCATTTTTCTTGGAATAAAAATTTTCTCCCTTAATTTGAGCAAGTAGGACAGTTTTCTAATGGAATAACATGAAATGTTTCAAACAAGTATTTCTGTGTCAAATACATAATAGCTGATTCTTTTCTTTTAAAGGTAAAAAAAACAAAAAACATATTCATTTGGTTGATCTTTTTTTTTTTTTTTAACCTACTCAGCTTAAGGAAAATAAATTTTAAGAAAGTTTCTATTTATTTGTAGATCTGTTATTCCAGTGTTGGAAACCTGTGAATGTATATATGTATGTTCATCTGCCGATTAACTCTTTCAACTGCTCAATTAATGGACCTTTGATGTAGTAATTATTTATTAGTTGATTTATTGATTTAATAACGTTAGGGATGTTTCTAGAGGCCTTGTCAATGTCAAAACTGAAGTATCACTGATTTTCCTTTTGCATTATGGCTCACATTGGGAAAACGATCTAGAAATAAGTAAAACTGTCTTAAATTAAGTGCATTTACCCTTAATTTTAGTAGGTTAATGAGATGATTTGCCAATGGAATGAGTATTTTTACTCATAAAATAAGATATTTAGATAAAATGCGCTTGAAATAATAAAAATGCAATT